GGCTGCCAGTACAGCGGTGGTGGTGGGAGCCTCTCCTGCCTCCTCAGCAGCGCTAAGGATGTCCGACTGCAGCTTAGGCCTGCTCCCCGCTGGCAAGTGGACATCCCCCAAGGGCTCCCAGGCTGCCAGTGGGATGTCTGACTGCCAACTTAGGCCCAATCCCCCGGGGAGCGGGCCTAAGCCAGCAGGTGGTCATCCCCCGAGAGGTCCCAGACTGCGAAAGGGCACAGGCTGGGCTGAGGGACCCCCCCCCCAAGGGCACAAATTTTTGTGTACTGGGCCTCTAGTCTATATATAATAGCCTATCCTTTCTGTTTCTCTAGGACCTCTAATATCCCAGGTGACAAAGGGTAGCACATCAGAGCTCCACTCTGGCAATGAAACAGTTCTGTATCTTGATTGTAATGGGGTTATTATATGATTCTATACATGGGATCATATTATGTAGAATCACAAACATACTTCTAGCCTGATGCAGGTGAGCAAGTACCACGGACACCTTCAGCTTGTGCTGCCTCTGTTATGTCTCCAGAGCCTCTCAGGAAAAGAGGCAAAGCAAACAAACAAAATTCAAATTAAAGGAAAAGGAAAATCCAGGTCAGGCCCAACAGAAAGAGATCAGTTTACAGTCAGCCCCTTTCTCACCAGTGACCCAGCATTACCTTCACTCCTCAGGCCCAGGCTCAGGCCCCAGCCTGAGGGTACAAAGAGGACAGGTAGGGCCTGAGATCTAAAAGCTTCACATAGTACAGTAGTTCTAAAAAAGAGCACTCCCACCCTCTTCTTGTACCTCCTTTCCCTTTCCCAGAGCAATGTCATCTCAGCTCTCTGGCTAAGACCTTTGCCTGCCCACCTGCAGGCCAGGATGTCTCCAGGAACCAGGTCCATTTCACTGGCAGCTTGTAAAAACATTAGGTATGGAGCCAGGCTATGCAAATTAGCCAAATGGAGGACGCGGGAGCCTCCTGACAGCTCTCCCTTTCAATGAGTGACACCACCTGGGGACTGTCTGTGTACCTTCTCAATATCCCATCCACTCAATTGCTCAGGCCATGAGCCCAACAATCCCTTCATACCACCCCTGCTACATAGACTCCATCATCAAGTCCTCTCAGCTCTACTTGGGAAATGTATCTTGAATCTGTCTCCTTCTCTCCACCATCACACCCATTGTCTCCGGTTGTTCCCTCCTCATAGGTCTCCCCAATCCTACTTTAGCCCCTTCAATCTCGCTCTCCATTCAGCAGCCAGAGTGATCCTTTAAAATCAGATCAAATCAATTGTATCACACCTAGAAGAAAATCCAACTTTGTCATCCTGGCTGACAAAGTCCTCTCTGATACAAGCCCTGCCTCTCAAAGCTCTTCTGATTCTTTCTTCCACCTTTCACTTTTTCCCGCAGTTACTCAAATAAGTCATGCTCTTCCTTTTCTCCCTTATCTTGTCTGGGATGTTTTTCCCCATCTTCAAGACAGTCCAGCCTGTCTTTGCAGGGAGCACTCTTTCTCTACAGGCCCAATCTCAAGAGGACAAGCAGTCACAGCACCTCACCCAACAGAGCACTTGGATTGCAGTCTGGGTCTCAGGAAAGCAGACCCTAAGAGGAGTTGAGAGCACAGGATGTTCATTAGGGAGTTCTTGTGGGATCAACAACTGTGGAAGGGGAGCAAGAAGGGGAGGCAAGAGGGGCAAGTTGGCTGTGATGCATACTCAACAACAGCTCCCATGTGGAGCTCTGCAGTTGGAATGACCCTGGACTTGGATTCAGGATGGCCAGGTCTTTGTACTTCTTTACTGATCAGTCTTTGCATGTGGGCCTCCCTAGGCCATCTCCAGCAACATCTGTAGCTGAGCCCATCCCAGAAGGAACTGACAGCTCAAGGCTGCTTGCCAATAGTGCTCCTAGAACAAGGCCTTCAGAGAAGACGGTCTGGGTGGCACATCACAGTTCCCACCATAGCTTATCTCTACTTGGTATTTTTCTGAATTTTTCATTATGTATGTCTCCTCTCCTAGAGTTTAAGTGCCATAGCAGCAGGATTTTGCTTTGTGTATTGCTGTGACCTCATGAGTGATGAATGAATGCTTCCCATTTAATTTTCACAACCACCTAAAAGATTAATAATTTGATTCTCATGGTACAAAAATGAGTTAAACAAAGCTTACGTTAAGAAATTTACCCAGTAATTGGCAGGACCAAGATGCCAGTCAGCTCTGTCTAGCTCACAGCCAGCACCCCACCACACTGGAATCATGGTATGGGGCAGTGTGGTAGCTGGTCTTGTGTTGATGTGGGAGGGTACACATTCCGTGTGTGGCTTTGAACAAGATTATAAATTACTAAAGGATTTGGGTCATTCCCTACAATTCCTCCTAGTCTCAATGCTTAATCAATGGCCCCTCTGCACACAGAAGTCCTAGTAAATGTGGGCTCACTGATTTGAAAGCCAATCCCCTCAGGCCCTTGTGCTAAACACACAAGCAAGGGGTCAAGCTGATTAAATTGAAAAACAATTCTGCTTTCTCACGTCAAAACTGCTTCCTGGTTGGCTCCTTTCACTTCCTGTTCTTTGCTAATGCCCTCAAGAAGCCCAGCAAAAATCCACCTCAATCTGAAGATGACTTTGGAGCATTTTCCTGGCCCACTCTGTCTGCTGATAGACAAGTCACCAGCCTATGTGGTTCTGAGGATCCCCATCTCTTCCAAAGGCCATTCTGGAATTTTGTCCATCTGACCCCCACCCATGATATATCTTAGAAAAACCCTCAGGGTGGTTTGACCCAATAGCTCACTCTTATTGGAGACACTGGACTCAGAAACTGCCAAAATACTTTTGGAGTCATATGAACTAGGACTGCCATGTATTCATCTTTAATATTCAAATCAAGCACCAACCCCTGTTATTGAGGAAGAAATATATAGGAAAAAATTCATGAGAAAATAAAAGGTTTATGCTTGAATCTAAGTGGCCAGTGATTTCTGGGGAATAGAGACGTTATTTCTCTACTAAAGGCCTTCGTGCACTGGGGCAGGTGGAAGGAGAGGGGGGTCTCTCAGCTTGGCCTGACCCCTCTCACAGTCCAGGAGCCCTCAGGGGAGGTCCTACTGATGGCTTAGGCCCACTCCCCATGGGAAGTGGGCCTAAGCCTCAGTCTGGCATCCTGGTGCAGGAGGCAACCAGCCAATCAGGGGAAGGCACTGCCCCCATCACCCCGCCACTGCTGCTGCCTCTGGCTTCCCTCTGCAGGAGGCACCCAGCCAAGCAGGGGAAGGCGCTGCCCCATCACCCCACTGCTGCTGCCACTGCCGGCCGCCAGCCCTCCTCAGCCCTCGCAGCCGCTTCGGCTTTGTCCAGAAGGACGTCCGGTCTATCCAGTCTAATTAGCACATTATCCTTTTATTAGTATAGATTTGGCAAGGACACAGGACTTGGTCCAGGTCAGAGTGGCCTGAAAGGTGGCATTCCTGCTGCTTGCTGTTTAGGCACATTTTTCTGTGGGCAATCAAGTATAGTTTACTGGAAATTATTATTGAACTTCATATTTACTCTTTGCACACCTGAAGGGTTTATGAATTCTTCCAGGGCAAAGTTGGCTTGGTCAGCTTTGTATCCAACAGTGTGTCTGGTACATAGAAGCTGTGGTAGTAATACTACCAATACTATCAGTTCACCTTTATTGAGCACTCACTATACAACAGCCAGTGTATTAGGGCTCTCATGTCCACCATCCCACTGATTCCTCACCCAACTCTAATAACTTACCCTCATTTTACAGAAGAGAAAACTGAGGCCTAGAGGTTAATAACTACCCAAGGTCATACAGGCAGGAAATATTGCAGCTGATGCTCAATAGACATCTAATGAGTGAGTGAAGGACCATAGTCAGTCTGGTGCCTTCACTGCCCCTCAGAACCTAGTAGGTATCTCTTGCCTCTGGGCCTCTACTGAAAAAAATGTACCAGACCTGAGTGCTCCCCAATGGCAAGTGTATACAGGTGCATAGAGCTCTTGGGGAAATACATGAAGCTCACCTGTTCACCTCTTCGATTGCAAAGCAAACAGTTCATGAAACTAGAATGACATTCTCTACCCATCAACCCAGATGAGAAATTTCCTGCCAGCACTGACCCCGAAGTTGCCTTGCTATCATCCAGAGTCAGTGAGAACCGGGAAATGGCAGACTAGTGGGACCTGTTTTCACTTTCCAAATTCCTGAACTCAATTGATCAAGCCAGGCGAGGCAAGTAATAGCAAAGGTCAGGCAGAATTTGGATCAAGGGCAGAAGTCCTGTTCTGAATGTGGCAGGGGCAGGTGGTTCAAAACATGGCCACACGCACTTCCTGGGGGTTGAGCAGATACTTCAGAATTCCCATAGTCTGGAGGGAAGCATTTGCTGAGCACTTCACAGGAATCCTCCATTCCTAGACCCCAAATAAGAGTCTCTGCTTGTCTCTTCTGCAAAACAGCAGCAGAGCAACCACACTTCTTTAAACCTCATCTACTCCCTCCCTGGGGTGGGCAGGCAGGCAGAGAGGCATTTTAATAAAGTTTAAGAAAAGCACCTAAATCAAATGGTGGGTAGTGAGGACATAGCAAGGTTTCCTAGAGGAGGCAAAGTCTGTACTGAATTTTGAGAGGCAAGTAGCATAAGCCAAGTAATGCAGAACAGGATACTCCCAGCAGAGGAAACAGCAGATGCAAATGTGTAATAATAACAGTAGCTATCATCAAACAAATCCTTCCTATGTGCCACTCCTTGCAGTAAGCACTTTGCAGGTATCATCACTAGTTTAACTGAGTTTTTCATGTCTCGTCTGTTTCCCCCATTAGAATGTCAGTTCCATGAGGACAGGGATTTTTTCCCCACCAGTGTATATCCCCAGTGCTTAGATCAGTCTCTGATACAGAATGTACCAATAAGTATTTGTCAACAAATCTTTCCCTTCCAATTGATTGCCAAGTATTTATATAAATATTTTGGTCTTATTTTATTCTTAATTAAACTTATTGGAGGTAATGTTGGTTAAGATTATATAGGTTTCATGTGTACATTCCTATGATACATGATCTATACATATTACACTGTGTGCCCATGCATCCCAAATAAAACTGACTATACAGTATCATGTAGGAAGCCAAAGAAAGGGTAAAACCATGAGTCCTTATACACATACATGCACACACTCAACAGAATTTGAAATGCTTTTCCAGTAACTATAACGTAGAACCACTTCCAAGGAAACAAACAATTGAAAAATAATCGGATTTTCAGTTACTCCTCCAGAAAGAAGCATAGAGATAACAGAAGATGGTCAAGTTTCCTTTGGACTTCCAAAGTAAAACACACACACACACACACACACACACACACACGCACACGCACACGCACACGCACACACACACACACACACGCGCACACACACACGAACACACACACATGAACACACACACACACACTTAAATAAGAATGCCAAAAAATATGATTTTACTTGTAACATGCTAAGGATTTCTAAATTTACCTTAAATCGACTCCACCTCCATTTTGTTTTAATGTCTAGGGAAGAACACCAGATTGAAAGCTGGGACAACTACACCCAGGGGCCAGTCATAGAATAAAAGGGATGTTTTAATGAGAGCTTGTATTGATAAAAAAAATTCAGAATTCTTTAAAAACCAAGCTTTAGAAATACACGTACAGCTATGTCGAAAATCCACATTTAAAACCTGAGAGAGCCCCAATTTTGCATAGTGAGTGTAGGAAGTGGTCCTCCCCAGGTAACTATGAGGATCCTGGAGAGCGGCCATAGCCACCCCCATGACCACAATCACTGGTCCAAGGACAGACACCTATGCCAAGTGGGACCGGCAGTTCTGTGGGTATGCAGATTTTGCTGCAGAGCACCAGTCACTTCTGTACCTGCAAGACATAAAAGTCAGAGACATTTGGCAGCCAAGTTTACAGTTAGTGTTATGAACTGAATTGTGTCTCCTCTCTTCCCCCTTAATTCATAGGTTGAATCTCCACTGTGGCTATATTTGGAGATGGGGCCTTTGAGGAAGTAACCAAGATTAAATGAAGTCATAAGGGTGGGTCCCTGACCCGATGGGACTGGTGTCCTTTGCAGAGAGAAAAGGCCATATGAGGACACAGTTGAGAAAGCAGCCAATCGCAGGCCAAGGCTTCACCAGAAACTGATAATGCTGGCACCTTGATCTCGAGCTTCCTGCTTCCAAATCTGTGAGAAATGCCTGCTGTTTAAGCTGCCCAGTCTGTGGTATTGTTATGGCAGCCAGAACAGACTAAGACAGTGAGGAACAATAAAGCTGAGACAGAAAGCACACATGAGAGTTGACACTGCATTTAATCATTTCTAAAGCCCAACAACATTCTTGTCTTGGTTTCAAACTTTAGGATCCTTACAATAATCTCCCATGAGTTTAAGAGAATTTAAATTGGGCATCTTTCATTTGCAACTAAATAACATACAGACAGTCCTCGGGTTATGTAGGACTCGATGTACGTCGTTTCATGGTTACGTCGCCATCTCCATTTATAAAAAAATAAAACTTTCGTCATTTCGATGTATGTACATATGTGCTCTATGTTTTTTATTATTTATTTACCACAAGTAAAGGTCAGGAATTATCTTTTAAATTTTTTTTACTGTTTCACTTTATTACTGCTGTGTATGTGCTCCATGTGACATAGGTGCTTATGTAGATGGTTTCCTTACGGCAAAAATTGCCTTACGTTACACCGTAGGAACGGATCTCCGACGTAACTCGAGGACCCACTGTACTGGCTTCTGGATAGTTGGAAGTAAAAAACTGAATGTAAAAACTTAAAGCCATTTTGGAATGGAACCAAGGTTATATTTCATCTCTGCCTTTTATTAAAAAAATATTTTAAAAAAAGAAAAAAAAGAAAAGCCCTTGCTTGTTTGGCTCAGTAGATAGAGCATCTGCCTGTGGACTGAAGGGTACTGGGTTTGATTCGGTCAAGGGCACATGCCTAGGTTTTGGGCTTGATCCCTAGTGGGGGGCGTGCAGGAGGCAGCAGATCAATTATTCTCTCTCATCATTGATGTTTCTCTCTCTTTTCCTCTCCTTTCCTCTCTGAAATCAATAAAAACAAACAACCATTACCTCAGGTTTTCCTGTATGAGTATTATAATGGTACTAGTAGCCCATCGCACGATATCACGAGCAGTAGGCCACCCGCTGCTTCCGCGGGAGCCGGCAGGAACCGCCAGGAACCGCAGCACAGCGCACCACCTGGAGCCACGCTGCTTCCACGGGAGCTGTGCGGCTTCTGCAGGGGGTGGAAGCGAGCCCCTGGCGTCCAAGGGAGCCAGGAGGGAGCCGCACTGCTTCCGCGGGAGGCGGGCCCACCGTCTCCTCTCCGGGCCTGTGCTCAGCCACAGAGGCTGCGGCCAGACCCGTCCCTGTGTCCACTCTGGCTCTGGGAAGCCGGCCGGAGCCAGGGCACGGCGGCTAGCCAGCCCCCCCGGCTCTGTTTCCATCTCCTCTCGCTCCGGGCCTCACCTGCACGAGTAACCTCCTCCTGTCCGGTTGTGACTGGTTATGGTGTCCCAGCTTAATTTGCATATTTCCTCTTTTTATATATACTAGAGGCCCGGTGCACAAAAATTTGTGCACTCGGGGGGCGGGGAGAGGGGGGTCCCCCAGCCCGGCCTGTGCCCTCTCGAAGTCTGGGACCCCTCGGGAGATAACGACCTGCTGGCTTAGGCCTGCTCCCGGGTGGCAGAGGGCAGGCCCAATCCCTAAGTGCAGCCCCTGGTCAGGCTCAGAGCAGGGCCGATTGGGGAGTTGGGGCGCCGCCCCGTCATGCACAGAGCAGGGCGGATCGGGAGGTTGCGATGCCACCCTCACTCACGCTCAGGGTAGGGCCGATTGGGGGGTTGGGGCACCGCCCCCTGTCACACTCAAGGCAGGGTCGATGGGGAGGTTGCAGCGCCACCCCCTGTCACGCACAGAGCAGGGCCGATCAGGGGGTTGGGGCGCTGCCCCCTATGACGCACAGAGCAGGGCCTATCAGGGGGGTTGGGGCTCCGTACCCTGTCACACACAGAGCAGG